CGGAAATGGGGACTGGCTTGTCAACAGCCCCCTCCCATCTCATGCCAAAGATCGTTGCCTAAGCTGAGCTCCACACTCTCCAATTCCACAATTACACACACCGGAGAAGGTTTGCTTCTTGTGTGTGTGTGTTGCCTGTTCGCCACTGATTTGAAGATGGGACGGGCATTCTTTAGGTTGCTGGTAGAAGAAAGCTACGATTGTTCTTTCAGTTTTGAAGGGGGACGTACAGGATTCTGCATGCAAAACTGATCTTAAAACAGGATTATAGAGTTCTAGAGTTGGAAGGGAGTTTGGACGGCAGTGGCAGGAAGATGATTCTCTCTTTGGCCTTGATTCTTTCTTCGGTGCAGGATGCATGGCCAGCACCCCTCGTCCGGCACAGGGGCTGCATGCCCCCCACCCCCCACGTAGTTTCTACCACCCCACAACTTGCTGCTGCAGCCAGAGGATCCGCAAATTTACCTTTGCAGCAGCAGTTTATTTATTCTTTAAAGTTTAAAGTTTATTTATTATTTAAAGTTTTTATATACCACAGTCTCTGGACAGCTTACAAAGAAAAAGCAGAAAACAACCACATACAAACAAACAACACACTGCATCTGACCATTAATTTTATAAAATCAAAGGTAAACCAATTAAATATTAAAATGTTGGGAAAATGGAAAAGTTTCCGCCTGGCGCTGGAAAAATTAAAGTGACGAACCTCTCTGGGGAGCATGTTCCAAAGTCAGGGCGCCCCCACAGAAAAGGCCCTTCTTCGGGTAGCTATCCTCCTAATTTCCTTCAAAGAGGTTCCTGGAGAGGCACTTGAGGCAAAAAAGCCACATTCCTGTATTAAAGCAAGGCAGATAATGTGCATCTTATTTAATGGAGTCCCCCAGGAGCCTGAGAATGCATAAAAAAATCGGTGCTTTGCATAGATTGAAAATATGGCTATGTTGCCACCTCTGAAGAGCTGCAGGGAGCGGGGTCTGGAGATTAGAAATCGCCTGCAGGCTCTCCAAAGTTTCCTCCAGTGAAGGAGAATGTGGCATTCAGGCCCAGGCCCCCAACCAACGGGGAGGAAGGAGCACACTTCCAGCGGGAGATCGATCATGGCCCTTGCTGTGGTTCGGGGCAACGGTGGAGAAGGTGTGAAAGGCACAGGAACGGCTCCCTTGGTGGCGCTGGCCCGTTCTGGCCCACTCCTAAATCACCGGCCGAAAGGCTGTCTGGCGGGAGGAGGAGGAAACGGCGAGTCAGCAAAACAGGAAAACGCTGGCTCAGAGGGGCCAAGCATGCCGTGACCCCACCCCGTGGATGGGACGCGTCCCTTGACCTCGGCGGCTGGTGTGGGGGCAGGACATGTAGCAGGAAAATAACAGGATGTCTCTTGGCCAGAGGCCTGGGAGAGGAGAGATTAATGAAAAGCGCTACCCTGCGCTCGGGGCTGCCCTGAAACGAGCGCTTCCGCCTCCGTGAGGTGCGGGGTGGCCGGTGTCCCGCTCACCGGCTGCTGACGGTGCGTTTGTGCCTTTTAATTGCCAGGTTTGATGAGCTCTTTCCCAAACAGGCTCCTCTGCCCTTGTGGGAAATGGCTGACATCAGGTTTTGGAGGCCTTCGGGAGGACACGCTCCGTGGCCCCATCTCTGAGTAAGTCTTCCTTCAGGATGCCATCGTCTCAAGATGGGCTAGGAGCCTCCGAGTGAACCTGCTAGCCTTGTTTGGGCCAGAGTGGGCCGCAGGTGGACACGGTGCACGGAGGAAGAGGAGGGGCAGCTCTGGGCGTGTCTGGTTGTGTTGGTCCCATGGCTGTTCCCGAGCAAAGCATCCAAGCAACAGCACCCTTCTGCTCTGGTTCTGCAGGAGCTGGCATTCCAAGGAAGACTGCTTCAGAATCAGGAGTCTCTGGGCCGTTTTCATGGCTTCTCGTGCCCGACAGCAGCCTTGCTCCCAGCATTAGTCTGATCCCCTTTTAAAGAGAGCACCATGAGTAAGCTCCATAGATTATTTGTAATTGTCTCTTGTCAATCAAATCTGTGTCACTTTCTAGTATGATGAGGCAAGGAGAGCTATTTCTCTCTTCCCACCAAACCCGCATGGCTTGAGAAACGTCTGCTTTGACTGGAGGGCTCCGTTCCCTTTTGGAGAAGCTCTCGGGGCATTTAGCAGTGGTGGATGGGGCTGAAGGGCCAGCTTATTCTAGCTTGAAGCTCTTGCTGCTGGAAGCATTTCACCCTTCGAGGATGGAGAAAACATTGCATTAAAATTAGGAGACCAAATGATGGGGTGCTGTCTGAGGAACCCTAGAAGGATAGATTTGGTTTATGGGCCCCGAGTCTGTTGCTGTCCATCATTATATTCTTTTCTGAGCTGCAAAACTTGAACCTTCTCCTTGCAGGGAATTTCCACCGACCTCCGTTACCCCTTTTTGGGCTCTTCCCCTCTTCCCTTTTGAGATGAGGCTGCTGAGAGTGGGTTTGCACCATGTGTTGATTCTCATGTAGGGTTTGGAGTGCAATTCTGAGATGGACTGATGTATTTGCTTTTCCGTGGAAGACATTTCTCGCCAATGAAGAAACGCTGGAGGTATCAGGGATCGTTCTATGGGCCAGGCAGATACTCTCCTCCTTCGCTTGTCTGTAAGACACGCCTGGCCAGTAACTCTCCCTTTGGCCCATCTGTCTGCTAAGCAGGAGGTCAGCCGTGCTGGACCAGCAGGAGGAAAAGGGAAGGGCAGGTTTGTAGGTTTTTATCACATTTGGCCACAGCATCCTTCCTCCTGACAGAAGGAACTTGTCGTTCCTTGGACATATTCTTCCTAAGACATTTGTCATTTGTAACATATACTAAGAAAGAAAGAAAGGAGACAGAGCAGACTCTGGCAATGTGATAATATTTCACTAACCGGTCTAGCTACCTTGGCCACATCTTTCCACGCCACAGGCAAGTATTCTAGTGTCTGTTGACCCGGCTCAGCTAAACTTTTGGGGTAGTGTTTCTCACACTTCTTGCTGAGAAACAAACTCTTTTTTCTGGATTAAAAGTGGAGGGATGCGTCATTCTCCCCGCCTGCCCTTCCACCCACGAAAAGTTTTTTTTTTGTGTACCTAAGAGGCAGAACAACCTGACCTTGGAATATCTGTGTTTTCCTGTTGGCTTTCCCCAATTGAGCCATTGTTTTGGCATTGGCCCTGATGAGCAGTCCCTAAGCCCTGAGTGGGGATGCGTAGAGAGACACAACAGACAGCGAGCTGTTCAGCTTGAAGGACATAAGGTTCCGATAAGCGCAGGGTCAGAAATTCTGCCCTCCTCAGGAGGCGTTGGACTCCATCTCCCATCAGCCCCAGGTGGCTGGCAGCAGTGGGAGCTGGAGTCCAGCAGCATTTCGCGTCCCCACCCGCAGCCATCGAGGTATGCTTTGCAGGACTTCCCCCTGCATGTGCGTGACCCGACCTACCCCAGAGCTTGCTTTTTCGCTCTCTGCTGGGCCTGGCAGGAGGGGAGGGAGGCGGGTCTGGATTCCGGCATTCTGGTTGGCAAACGAGGAGGAGGCCCGGGTGCTAATTAGCCAGGAATGGCGAGGGGCCTTCTGCAGCTCGGAGAAACATCCTGGCCTCCTTTCGCAACCTCCCGGTGGTGCTAATGGGTCCCAGCGGAGAGTGTTTGGCGGTGGACCGGAGTGTGCTGAGTCCAGCTTCGGGGGAAGAGGGAGAGGGGCAGAGAGAGCATGCTCTGGCGTTCCCAATTTATCAGCGAAGGAATCTAGGGAAAAGTGTACACAGCAGAGCCTTCCTTGGGGCTTTGGACATGTGCTGTTCCTCCTCCTTTAAAAAGCCTAAAGCAGCTTTCAGGCGCCCCGGAGCAGCTTTCCCCTGACTTGGTACCCCCAGGTGTGTCGGACCACAACCCCCAGAGTCCCCCAGCCAGGTGGAGGGGAGCTATTAGAACAGCCACCGCAGCACCTTTCATATCTGAGCAACCAGGCGTGCATGAAATGGGACTCCGGGTGGCCTGGCAGAGCGGTGACACACTGAGGGTTGTCCTGAGCACGTCTGGAGGGCGGCTGCTTGGGGAAGGCGGCCCCGGAGAGTCCAGCAGGGTGGGATGTGCCCTCGCCATCCATCAGCCCCTGCCCCAGAGAGCTTGCAGGTCTAGAACGCAGCATAGAAGAGGGGAAGAGAAGGGGCAGAGGAGGCATCCGCTGACACGGAAGAAGCATCCCGCAGTGCGGGCACACGCGTGTGGGTGTCGTTTCAAGCCAGGGCGTGAGCAGTGTGCCTGCGCGTGCCAAACTGGAGCGCAGCGGCGGCCAAACACCTGCGCATGTTTGAGCGATGAGGAGTCCTTGCTCCTTCCTGGGGGGGGGGCATTGCTCTCTCTTCTGGGGCCCCAGTGGCTCCACCTCTTGCCCCGTCTGGCAGCCGCCGAGCAGCTTCTCGGCATCCCTCGGCTTTTGCCAAAGTCCCACTCCCGGCTTTTCCTGTTGCCGTCCGGGCAGGGGCCGATGTCCAGGGCCCACTCGGCAGAAGGAGCAGGGTGGGACTGCAGCAGTGGGGCTGGCCTGCCACACTGTGAAGTCATGGCCAGGGCCCCTCAGAGAAGGCACCTCCCTGTAAGATGTTGAGCTCCACAGCCTATGCAGCCGTACCACGGCTGAGCCGTCTTCCTTTCCAACAGAACTCCCCATTTGACCAAGCAGGAAACGATCCATTTTCTCCCTATGTGCTAAAAGGGGTGTCCCCCTTTCAGACCTTTTGCCTCATGACAACAGGGCTTGCACTGTTGGCAAAGCCACGGCGGGGATTATGGGCCGCGTCGGTTTCAGGGCGGCGGGTCAGATGGCCCAAACCTGGCCAGAGCGGCTTGTTCACAAGCGATGCTCCGGCTTAGGACAGCAGGTCAAGCCGCGCTGAAACCGACGTGGCTCACAAGCCAGCGTGGCATCTTGGGCCTCGGTCCGTGCCTTTGCAGTCACAGCGCTTGCCTTGCTGACGGTCCCTTCCCTGCGTTGCAGTCATCTACATCTGCTGCGCCTCCAGCATCTTCCGAGAGCTCATGCTTCACGCGCACCGCGAGGGCCTCACGGCAGGCGACTACGTCTTCTTCTACATCGACCTCTTTGGGGAGGTCTTGCAGAGCCCCCACTTGCCTGACCGCCAGCTCCCGTGGCAACGCCAGGACGAGAACGACCACGTGGCCCGTGAGGCGTACAAGGTCAGTGCTCTGAAAATCGTTTTGCCTCCCCGCCTCCTGACACATGCCCTCCTGACACATGCCCTCTTGCACGTGCCGTCTCCAGTGCGTTGATCTGAGCCGGATTTGTTGTTGTTGTTGTTGTTGTTGTTGTTGTTGTTGTTGTTATTATTATTATTATTATTATTATTATTTGAGGTATTTGCTGTTCCTCAGCCAAAAGCACTCCTAGAACGGCGCACATGTAATTAATTCAACCAGATAGTCTCTGCTCATGGACTTACTTCCCAGAAGGACATGACACATAAGGAAAAAGGGGAGAAGGAAGGCAGGAAAATAGAAGCCTTTCAGCACAGCCGGTGGAACGGCTCTCCTTCCCCTCTTGTCTCCCTCAGCAAATACATTGGAAACACATGGATTTTCCATGTGAAAATTTGCGGTCGAAATCAGCATTCTTAGTTTTTGCCACAGACCCTCTGGTGCTTGAAACCTGTGAGCATTTCTTGATTGCTTTGGCAGGAATCAAGTGTAAAAATCTTCCACAGAGCCTTTGGCAGAAATCTCTCATCGTCATGCCCGGCTGTCCTGAAGTACGCATACTGAAATAAATGCATAGTCTTCTGTTGTCGGTGTGTTTAATTATAAATTGTATGATCCTTGGGGGCAGAAACCGATCCTCTTGTGTTTTGTAAAGCAGGGAACTAGCGTATGTAAAGATAATCAGCTGCCAAAGTTAAGAAGTAGTTATGTGTTGTGCAACATTAGGGAGCAGCGATAAAATTAGGGTAAAATGAGAGAGACTCCTGCATGCTAATTGTTCTCTGTCAAGTTGGATCAATGAAATGTTGGTAGGAAGTTTTAAACACTGTTTGTTCTCAAGGGTAGATGTTTTTATAAAATCAGATGTCCTCAGGGCATTCAAGATCAGAGTTGACGGAAGAGAATTTGGAGTAAAAGTATTCGCATGAGTTTTAACCGTACAAACACAGATATTCCTAACTCAGTTTAAAGCTGAATATTTGCATTTTGGGGAGAGAACTTGTCTTCAGGTTGCTGCTTGGTTATTTTTTTCCCCTTTCCTGCCAGGGTTTTTGTGTTCCCAATTGCTAAAGGACGGGCAAAAATTCAACCAGGGAAGCTCTTCATGGTATGGAAATCTCAGTGGCAGAGACAGCTGGCCAGGTTGAATTTCTGCTGGCCGTGAAGCTGTTAAGAAGGGACAGGAGCTTTGCCAGGAAGGGAGAATGTGCTAATTCCGCTGGGAATACCCAGCAGCAGAGAGTACAGTTACCGCTCCAGGGCAGTGCCATCTGGCAGGTGTCCCAGTGCGTTGTGGGGATTGAGCATGGGCAAAACAGGGCAGTTTTATGGTGGGTCGGGAAGCCACCCTGAGCTAGGGTGGGTGTGAGTTGGCAGCTGAGTTGGGTATTGTCAAGAGCCTCCTGGTGTCAAGTTACTAGTCCTCATGGCAGGAGGCCCACTTGGCAACCTGTTGCTGCTTAGACCTTGGGAAACCCCCTTGAGGCACCGGAGAGAAACTGGGTGTGTGCAGCAACCAGGCAAACATGCCTGTCATGATGAACCTCAGATGGAGCAAGCACCCCCAGTGTCGCCCGGAGTCTTCCAAGATGGCTTGTTTGCAACTCATTTGTTCTCCCCCATATGAAAACGGGGATTAGGGGAGCACTAGGGAACGACCGCCTGTGCCAAACAGACCCATGGCTTGACCTGCTATAGGGCAGCAGCTTTCATTTTTATTTAAAACGGCCCTCATTCAGAAACAGGAACCTTGCTTGATTTTTAGGAAAGTAACTGCTGCTTTGCATTCAGTGAGCCAAAGGCTCGGTGCTCAGAATCTGCAGGTGGGACTGAGAAAGGCCTGTGTCCGGAAGTGCGGGAAGCAGCTCCCACTCAGTAGAAAACATGCTGTTCCAGCCTGGTGCAGTCCAGATAGTTTGCCCGTGGCGGATGGCAACTGCCCTCTAAAACTTCTGGAGGACACCAGGTCGGAGAAGGCTGGCACAGGCAATACTGAAATAAGATTTATTGGACACCTTCTGACCTGAGGGGCTCATCTTCCGGCGTCATATCTTTTTGCCTTTTGGTACTGTCCATGGGATTTTCATGGCAAAGATACTGGACTGGGTTGCCATTTCCTTCTCCAGTGGATCACGTTTTGTCAGAGCTCTCCGCTATGACCTGTCCGTCTCAGGTGGCCCTGCATGGCATAGCTCATAGCTTCATTGAGCTACGCAAGCCCCTTCGCCACGACAAGGCAGTGATCCATGAGGCCTTTGAATTGTGGTGCTGGAGGAGACTCCTGCGAGTCCCTTGGACCGCAAGGCGATCAAACCGGTCAGTCCTAGAAGAGATCAACCCCGACTGCTCTTTAGAAGGCCAGATACTGAAGATGAAACTCAAATACTTTGGCCACCTAATGAGAAGGAAGGACTCCCTGGAGAAGAGCCTAATGCTGGGAACAATAGATGGCAAAAGAAGAAGGGGACGGCAGAGGATGAGGTGGCCGGATGGGGTCGCTGGAGCAGTTGGTGTGAGCTTAGACTCCGGGGATGGTGGAGGACCGGAAGGCCTGGAGGAATGTTGTCCATGGGATCGCGATGGGTCAGACACGACTTTGCGACAAACAACAACAACCACTCAGAATAAGGCTGCTTCCTATGCTCCTGTTTAAATCTACCTTTTATTCAGAACCATGAGGGCTAGAATATTATTTTGCTTTTAAAAGGGAGGCTGTATCTCAATTCTCCTTCTTGGGTGCACGCCTTAACCCTAGCAGGCTGACCCAGGTTGAAATGGTCAAAGTTGAGGCATCAGACTAAGATGCATCCACCCTCTTCGGGAGGAATAGCCGAATCAGCAGACAAGAAAAGTGGAAAACAAAGCAGAATCCAACGTCGTGGGGAAATTTGGCTCAGAAATGAAGCAGGAGAACAATTCATGGAATTCTGTGATGCCAACTTGCTGTATATTACAAGTACATCAGAGCAGCTGATCAGGTGGCTGTAGGCATGGACGTCACCAGATGGCCAACAGAGAAATCAAATAGACCATATAACTGGAGGTAGTAGATAGAGAAGCTCTATTTTTGCTGCCAGATAGAGCTGCTCTGAAAGCGTTTGGAAAGAATAGAGCACCTGGCAGTAGATCGGGTGCCAACAGAACTATTTCAAACTGCAGAGACGGATTTAAATCCAAATCTCAACCAGAATATGCCAACAAATACGGAACACAAAACAGTAGCCCACAGATTAGAAACATTCAATATACCTTCCAGTCTGCAATTAAAAAGATGCAGCAGCTTTCGGACCATTGTGCTAACTTCCCATGCAAGCAAAGCCATGCCCAAGGCAACGCAATCAAGAATGAGAGGGAACCCATGGAAGGAGTTGTGTTTCAGCTGGATTCTGGAAAGGAAGAGGTGAGCACACAGATGCTGTCTGCTTGGTGCGCCAAAGAGCTAGACAAGAGGATAAGCTTGTGCTTTCTAGACTACAGCACAGCCTTTTTTGTCGGTCAGGAGAAGCTACGGATAGCGTGGCAGGCCCCAGCTTGCTCTTCCTTTCTCCAGGAGGAAGGAAGCGAGATAATCCCTCAGATGGAGTTTGACGGCTGGTTGCAGCTATTAATAACCTCTAGGAGTTGAAAGGCTGGTGGGATAGCAGGGGTGAGGGAAGCGGCGGTGGGCACGAATTCACTGCCCCCAGGAAGCAGTACTTGCGAAGGTGCTGCGTCCTGGCTTTGAAAGGATTTTTGTGATGCGTTCACAGAGGCGGTTATAAGCTGGACATCAGCCTGTATGAGCCCCAGCCAGCACGGCCAATGATTAGGAATCCTGGGAGTTGTTGTCTAGAACATCTGACTGGCAGGGACGGGATGGGATGACTATACCAGTTTGGGAAATTCTGATCTTCAGGTATGAGGCAGTGATGTTTTCAGACAACCTAACTCCCCCCCCCCCAACTCATGGGTTGTCACTGAAATGAAGATTACATTGTTGTTTGAACCCAACTGACTTAAACCATAGCGAGCAACCCAAAGTTCAGCACCTAACAAGGCATGGGTTGTCTTTGTGGGTTGTTTGTGCCTAGCATCTTGTGACTTGCAAGGGCAGCTGGGTTCAGACAACAGGATAACCCATGTTTCACCAACAACCCTGCTTAACCCTTGACTGTAGGTTATCTCCAGAATTTCATGTGTTTCTTGGTGCCCTCCAATTCTCTAACTGCCTAACACTACAATTCCCATCACCCCAACCATTGGCCTTGCTAGCTGGTGCTGATGAGATCTGTGGTTCAAACTACCGGGAGCAAGCAAGTTCTCTAGCTCTGGTCCAGCTCCTTAATCCCTCCCGATCGCATGTCGTGGCCAAGGCTTCGCACATTGTTGGTGAACTGCATGCGTGTTTGCCCACATTTTCTCCTCCTCCCCCTCCCCTTCCCTCCACTGAGTTTTAGATGGGAAGCTCCTCTGGGCAGGGACTGTCTTCTTTTAGTGCACATCAGCCATGCTCTTTAGCAGTCGTAGCCCCAGCAGGGAGTGCGAAAAGTCTGAAAGTTCCAGCTGAGCTTGTCATAGGATCATAGAATAGCAGAGTGGGAAGGGGCCATGAAGGCCATCCAGTCCACCCCCCGCTGTTGCAGGACACCACGTTACACCATCCCGCTCAGATGGCTGCCCAGTTTCTCCTTGAATGTCTCCAGTGTGGGAGAGCCCCCCTCCTCTTCAGGCGGCTGGTCCCACTGTTGTGTTGCTCTGACAGCGAGGGAGCTTTTCCTGATGCCCAGCCTGGGTTGCCTCAACTTGACTTGATTATTCCGTGTCCTACATTCTGCCATCAGCAAGAAGAGATCTTGGCCTTCCTCTTTGTGACAGCCTTTGAGGTACTTATAGAGGGATATCATGTCCCACCTCAGCCTTCTCTTCTCGAGGCTGAACGTGCCCAGTTCTCCCAGTCTCTCCTCACAGGGCAGTTCTTCCAAACCCTGGATCATTTTTGTTGCCCTCTTCTGGACCCTTTCCAGTTTTTTAAAGATCTTTCTCAAACCTTGGTGCCCAGAACTGGACACAGAATTCCAGGTGAGGTCTGACTAGTGTGGCATATAAAGGAACTACTCCTTCTCGTGCTTTGGAAGTAATCCTTCTCTTAATGCATCCCAAAATAGCATTTGCCCTTTTGGCGGCCGCATCGCATTGTTGGCTCGGGTTTAGCCTATTGTCCACAATTACTCCAGGATCTTTTTTCCGTTTCAGTCCTGCTGAGCCACGTATTCCCCATCTTTTACATGTCCTCTTTTCAAATCTCTATAGGCGGTGATGATCGTCACCTACGCGGAGCCCACAAACCCCGAGTACCGGCCGTTCATCCAGGAGATCAAGCAAATGGCTCAGGAACGGTACAACTTCACCATGGGAGACGATCTGGTAAGGAGACCAGCCCGTGGTCCAGCTTTGCCAGGTGCCAGTGGCATGGTAGATCTGTGTTGAGCGAATGAGCTGTGGTGGACAGACTCACAGTCCCGACCAGATTCCTACATAATCTAAGGCAAGTGGGGATTTCCCCACTCTTTCTCCGTGGAGGGGTCCAGGGTGGTCTCCAGTCCATGCCCAGCATTAGACTCGCTTCGACGTCAGTCAAGTGCCTTTGGTCCATGCTCTGGGATGGGTTTTTGATCTAGAAGATCTGCCTCCCACCAACCTGGCTCCCCCAGCTGGCAAGGGGATCCTGGGAGATGTAGTCCAGTGGGCCTGGTGGGCACCAGGTTGTCGGAAGATGGAGGAGAACTGCCACCGTAATGCCAACAACCATTGCGACACATTGAAAACACATGCTCTAAAGCAACCTCCTGTTTCAAAAAATAAGCTGAAACGACTTGGTGGAGAGCTCAGCGAGCAGAAGTAACAGGCTGCTTAGCCAACTGGTATACCTTGTTTGCAGCCTAGTAACGTGTGTGGACTTTTCTTTCTTTGTACAAGGCTGCAGTAAAAAGTCAATGAGTTAAAACACAAATAAGCCAGGCAGCGGCATAAGAACCTGGCGGCACCGACCTGTTGCCCTCTCGTTGTCTAGGAAGACGTGTCCCAGGGCTCCGGATCGTCAGCTATGCTTGCTGGGGCTTAGGGGAATTGAAATCTAAAACAACTGGTAGGGGCAGCAACCAGGTTGGGGAAAACTGGTGGAGACCCAAAACAACATCATTAGACCAAAGGCCGTTCAGAATAAGTCAGCAGAGAGATACCTGCAGAATATGCTGGGCTGATTGGTCGGTTTTAGGAACAAGCATCAAAGATCCGGGCACATTCTCTGTGGGAAGGTGTTCAATGGCAGAGGTGGGCCGAAGGTGGATTTCTAGAGCTGTTGATTCAAAGCTATGGGCAGGAACGCTGGGAGTTGAAGTCCAAATCTTAACTGTATGTTATGCACATAATTTGGGGCCTTCAGAATTCCTTCTTTGAGGGGGGCTTGGTGGATGACAACCAAAGCCTTTTTTGGGATGGCTTTGCAGTTCTGGAAGACTCTCCCCAGTAAGGCCCTGCTGGTGCCTACACTGTCATTTCGTTAGTGCCGTGTGAAGACATTCTAGTCTCAAGCAGCATATAATGGGATTTTCATTGGCTCCGCAGAGGTACGCTTTGTTGATAAAATCATTCTGTCTTTGCGCCCTGGTTTTCTGTTCTACTGCTTTGAGCACATTAACCTTTGGAACGTTGCTCAGAGAATTTTGCCTGCTGGGTGGTCTGTCCCCAAGCGGGGAGTTTGCGCTGCATTCCGCCTGGCACTGCTCAGCCTTGGAATGCCATTCCCAGGATCACTTCCCTGGTGCCCACAGTGCTGTCTTTTCAGGGCTGGGACAAGATGCGTTTGGTTCCCCCTGGGTTTTAGAAGCTTTCTGGAAGTCAGACATATGTCACAGTCCCCGTGGTGTGCTTGCACCTGGCAATAGTGCTTGTTTTCACTGTGATTTTATTGTATCTGTTAGATTTGTTGAAAAACTCTTTTGCACGGTGCCTAGGGAAATATGTTTTATTCAGTGCATAGCCAGCAGAATCCAATCAGGCTGCCCATTACCCTCCAAACTTGGAGGATATGGACATACAGGGAAGGGCGAGAGGGACACAGAGGCAAGCGTCGATCCTGTGCTTTGGCGGTCCGGCAATTCAGCGGCCGGTTTTGGCTGTGTGGGCGTTTTGCCCCAGAGCATGGGGGTGCTGCGGCACTGCCAGGGCCACGTATACACTGGCAACACCTCTCTCTTCCCTCTGCTGCCCACACAACGCCATTTTTGAGGCCGGCTGCAAACCTCAAAGCCATTTCTGCTCTGGCGGCAAGCGTGGAGGGAGGATGCTGTAAGACTTTCTTCCACCTTCCAGAAGAACTACATCTCTGCCTCTTTCCACGACGGCGTGATGCTCTATGCCTATGCTGTGAATGAGACACTGGAGGGGGGTGCCATCGCCAATGCCACGGTCGTCACCCGCCAGATGCAGAATCGCACTTTCTACGGTCAGTACATTTCTAGTCCTCCTAATATTATCATGCGTGTATTTTGAAAAGTCGGAATTAGAGCTGTAGCTGTGGAAGAGGAGCTAATGGCAGAGCACCCAGAAAGGTGCAGACAAGAGAAAACTGTCTGTTTTGCTTTCTCCAACGTTCCAGTCCTTGTGGACTCAAGACTTTCTGTTCTGAATATGCAGAGCATTTGTTAGTTGTGAAGTCGTGCCCGACTCTCTGTGACCCCATGGACAGCATTCCTCCAGGCTCTCCTGTCCTCCACCATCCCTCGGAGTCCACCCAAGCCCACACCCACCTCTACAGTGACCCCATCCAGCCACCGCAACCTCTGCCACCCCCTTCTCCCTTTGCCTTCAATTGTTCCCAGCATCAGGGTCTTTTCCAATGAGTCCTTCCTTCTCATTAGGTGGCCAAAGTCTTTGAGCTTCAGCTTTACCACCTGGCCTTCTAAAAAAAAAAAGGTTGATTTCCTTTAGGATTTCCTTTAGGGACAAAATTCTTAACAATTCGCACAACAATTTGCATTTCACACCAGATTCACACAGCAATTTGCATTTGCAAAGTGTGTACCAGTTTCCAACACGCAGAATATTTTGGAATTGCTTGCAGGGTAGTTGTTTAAGATGAGACACCTGCCAAAAAAAAAACGCACCAGAAACAATGTTGAAGACACAGGCGTTCAAACCCAGGCTTTCAGAGCAAAGCACTCGAAGGCCTGGTCCGGCTTTCTGTGCGGAAGGTTCCAGGTTCAATGCTTAGCCTTTCTCATTAAAAAAGAGACATTTCTTCGTAGGTGCTGAGCATCTCTGATGTCACCTGGTATAAAGTTTGCAACCTCCGCTGCTTCATTACTCTAAAATAGAATGCTGAAGGAGCAGAGTGGGGAAATCTTGAAAAAGAGCTCTGGAGAAGTTTAAGAGGCTTTCCCTACCGGTCGCATTCATTCTGCGCTCAGGATTCCTCATGCGTGCAGGCACATTACATGAAACTGTGATCCAGCAGGGTCTCTCTTGTGCTTTGCAGCTATTTCCATGGCTTCTTTTAGGGGGAGGAAAGTATAATATTGTTGGAGAATTGTGTTAGAAATGCTTGTGTGTCTTAGAAATGCCAGTATACTGCAGTGTCACCTTGTGACTGTGTACCAGAACATAAAGGCAAAGAAAGAAAAGTCCTGGGGTGGGGTGGGGGGGGGGGGGGGGGGACATGTATAAAGGAGCTGAAGTTAATCTTGCAAAGAATTCAGAAGCGGATATTTTGGGAAAGCAGGAGGTTAAATGTCTCATGGAGACAGGCCCAGAGAGGCCTTTCCCCCAAACTTCCCAAACTATTGGGAACAATACTCACAACTTCCCAGTTTCTATAAATTATTATAGAAAATTTTAGCCCCTGAGATCCTTTCCCTCCAATTTCTCAGGAAAGCTATAAGAGTTTTAAAAATTGATTTCAAATTCAGCTGCAGCCACATTTTTTTTTTTAAAGAGACTGTTTTCTGGGTGTGTCTGAGAACATCCTGCTAGTGATTCCCCAAAATTTGTTTGGGAATGCTCAGGTTTTTCTTCCCGAATCCCGCAGGAGTCACGGGGATGCTGAAGATTGACCACAATGGAGACCGGGAAACCGACTACTCGCTGTGGGACATGGACCCTGCATCCGGGGAGTTTCAGGTTAGTGGCAGGGCTGCCCGTCACACTGTGGAGGTTTCCCTTTTCCAAAGCATCTGGAGTGAGGCAGCTTGTCCAGGCCCGGTCCAGTCTGTCATACTTTTTCCTGTAGTGACTCCCACTGGTTCCCTCTGCGAAGGCCAAAACAGGGCATGAAGGCAACAGCCTGTTGGTAGTCACAGCTAGACTACCGCTGCACATGGAGGTTTCACCCGCTCACCTGCAAGTGGATGTAGCCCTTTTCAAGGCATCCAAAGCAGTGGCTCTCATGCCGTCCACGCACAATACTATCCTTCCTCTCTCTTCCTCCTTCCATGCACACTGTTTCCCTCTCCTTCGCCCCACCCTGATGTCTTTCCCTAGATTGTCGCCAATTACAACGGGACCACCAAGAAGATCAAAATCGTCCCTGGAAAGGACATTGACTGGCCAGGGAATACCATCCCAAGAGACGTGCCATTCTGCGGCTTTGAGAACAGCAACCCGATCTGCCATAAAGGTATCCGCCAGCGGGGTATGGCTGTAGGGCTGCCCCTCTGCAGGCCACCCATCCACCTCTATTATTTATTTATTTATTTATTTATTTATTTATTATTATTATTATTATTATTATTATTATTATTATTATTATTATTATGACTTCTATGCTGCCCCATTCGCTGAAGCCTAGGGGCGGCTCACATCAATAAATAAACTTACATAAAATAGTATAAATTAACAGTATAAATTAAGTCGCCCTGGCCAAAGAATAAAATGAATAAATACTATTAACAATTACAGTGACATTTGAATAAAAAGGTCTTCGCCTGGCGCCAAAGAACAAATAACGACGGCGCCAGGCGGACCTCTCTGGGGAGCGCATTCCACAGGTGGGGCACCACCGCAGAGAAAGCCCTCCTCCGAGTACTCACCCTCCTAATATCCTTCACGGAGGGCTCCCGGAGAAGGGCCTCTGCCGCCGATCTCAAGGGGCGGGAGGGCAAATATGGACGCAAGCGCTCCTTCAGGTAACCAGGACCCAAGCCATTTAGGGCTTTATAGGTCATCACCGACACCTTTCTGTCATGCAGATCTAAGCTGGGTGGGTAGAACTGCCTTTGCTCCCGGATATTCCGAGAATTCCCCTGGCCCCAATTCCCAACATTCTTTCTTGAAGGTGCATTTATTACGTTGACATATCCTGTCTTACCTACACAATGCAGCACAGGTGTGTGGGGCTTTCCTGGCAGTCTCTTAGCCAAGCTCTCATCAGCCTGGAACCTTCCCGGTAACGGGAAACCATCGGCTGGCTCATGCCACGGGTCTGGTCTCGGTGACACGTGCCGAATTAACGTCTTGTCTGAACGGCTGTCACGTGCTGTCGCTTGCTCCTTTGTGATCGCAGTTCACCAGCGATCACCCTGTGTCTGGGTGTGAGTCAGTTCGAGCCCCCAGAGTGCAGGAACAGCTTGGGCCAAATTCTGTGAAAGACCGCTTTGTCCCACGTGGACGTGGCGTCCTGCAACAGCAGGGGATTGGACTCGAGGGCCTTCCTGGCCCTTTCCAACTCTGCTATGCTATGATCCTATGACCCCAACTGGGTTATAAGAGTCTCAGAAGAGGCCCTTCTCTTGGTCCCACCACTGTTAGAAGCATGTTTGATGGGGATGTGAAAGATGGCCTTCTTGCTGTTGGCTCCCAGGCTGTGCAACTTCCTGCTGAGGGTGGCCGGGCTAAATTTCTCTCTCTCTCATCCTTCTGCCAGCAGGCAAAATAGTTTTATTAAGATAGACTTTGGACTTTGGACTGGTTTTCTTTGAACGGGTGGGTGTTGTTTTCTTTCCCTCTTTTTGGATGTTTCTTCTGTAGTCTTTGAGTCTTTTTTATTTTCTTCAACTTGCTCATTTGTTTTAATCAGAATGTTGCACGGGAATTATCGATAGATGTCTTGAGCGCTACTGGTGAGCTGGAAGGCTGGGTGTTCATTTAGTGGATCAGCAAACGAACCAACAAATTAATATCTTTCCCACGTTTCTTTGCTTGCTCCTTCTGCAGCCTCCTTCTCCTTGCTGGAGATCTTGTCTCTCGCAATGACCTTGGTCCTGTCCATCGTCATCATTGCAGCCTTCTTTGTGTACAGGTGAGTCCGCAGGTGGGTTTGCTTGCCAGGGGCTGCTGAGCTTAAAGGACAGCTCTGCTGGGCCAGTGCTTTTTTCTGGCATCAACCACCCCATAGACAAGTTGCTAAAGCAGTAGCTCCCACCTGGGTGGTTTGCCCTCTGCATCCATATTTTGCAGGTGGACTCCTCCTGCCCAAGGAGGATTCATTTGGGTATCATTGAAAAAACAAGAAGGGAAAGGCACATCTGTAGAATAACAGAGAGGTGAAAAGAGTCTCAGGTGCCTATAAGTGAAGGTTGCTTTCCTTGATATAGGTAAGAAAAGCTGAGCGGTCTCTGGGGAAGGAAAAAACTTTCTGAAATGCCAGCCATCAATAGGCCCGTGAGACTCCTTTTTCGTTCTCATGGGCTTCTCTTTTCCATCTTGCTTTCGACCACCTCCATGAAGGTAGATTCGTCCCTTTGAAAGCCTCCTCAGCCCCGTGTCCAACCCGACATCCGGTGGCAGTGAGAATTCCGTGGGCGATGGTGGGAAGCCCAGCGCCTGCCACCGTGGCTGGATCCCGGTTTTACAGGGCCCGTGGGCAAGGCAGCCTCAGTGGGCTCCTCTGGCACTGAGCTTGCCTTCTAGCCCCTCAGGTCACAAGCTGTCCTTCCTCCTCCTCTTCCTCATTTCTGCTGCCACTGGATTGATAGGCAGGGAGCAAGGCAGCTGTGGCATCGCTTCTGGTTCTCCTTCGAATCCTAGAATAGTCGAGTTGGAAGGGGCTCTGAAGGCTATCCAGTCCACCCCCTGCTGTTGCAGGACACCAGTTTACACCACCCCACTCAGAGGGCTGCCCAGTTTCTCCTTGAATGTCTCCAGTGTGGGAGAGCCCTCCCTCCTCTCCAGGCAGCTGGTCCCACTGTTGTGTTGCTCTAACAGTGAGGAAGCTTTTCCTGATGTCCAGCCTGAATCTGGGTTGTCACAGCTTGAATTGATATTCCGTGAACTACACTCCGGCATCAGCAAGCAGATATCTTGACCTTCCCCTTTGTGACAGCCTTTGAGGGAGTTACAGCAGGATCTCATGTCCCCCCTCAGCCTTCTCTTCTCAAGGCTGAACATGCCCAGCCCTCAGTCCCTCCTCACAGGGCAGTGTTTCCAAACCCTGGATCATTTTTGTTGCCCTCCGCTGGACCCTTTCTAATTTACCTGCATCTTTCTTAAACCTTGGTGCCCAGAACTGGACACAGAGTTCCAGGTAAGGACTGACTAGTGAGGAGTATAGGGAAACTACTCCCTCCTGTTATTTGGAAGTAATACTTCTGTTACCTCACTGCCACCGTTGTCTGGGCCAGAGCAAGAGGCTGTGGAACCAGTAGGTTGCCCTGGGGAGGGAGACAAGCCACCCCCAGGAGTCAGACTCTGCAGGCACCTCGCAGGCTTTGGGTCCATGGCCGGTGCCCCACCGTGTCTTGATGCCCGCCCTGTCCTCTGACCCACTGCTCCTCAGGAAAATGAAGTTGGAAAAGGAGCTGGCATCAGAGCTCTGGCGCATCCGCTGGGAAGACGTGCAGTCGAGCAATCTGGAGAAGAATTTGCGCAGCATGGGCAGCAAACTCACGCTCTCCCTGGTACGTGCGCCCTTGTCGGTCTTGTTGGAACCAGTGTGGGCAGACCTGTTCTCTCAGCCCGTTCTTGCGGAGTTTTGTCCTCAGTCTTTGTCTATTAGAAAAAGTCGTTTAAAAACCCTGCACCGAAATCGGGACTCTGCGATCTTAGCCTTTGGGGAGCGCCTTTTGAATATTTAAAACCCCATGTAGATTAACGTGTTGCAATATGTACAGCAGCCCTGCAAACAGGCGTGTATTTTCTTCATTCCTCAGATTAACATGAGGCTGGTCTCTCATGGTTGAACTGAGCTTTGACCTGAAAAGTCCTGATTTATAGCTCAGGACTTTCAGTACTGAAACTCTGCATCTGTTACAGATTGTGCAAATCAAGCAGGCAAAATCCGGGCTTGGATCGGGAGTTAAGTTTTGCTCCCCAGCCAGAGTCGCCTCACTGCTTTTCTGCCTTCCTTCCTTCCTCAGAGAGGATCCAATTATGGATCCCTGCTCACCACAGAGGGACAATTCCAGGTTTATGCCAAGACAGCGTATTTCAAGGTAAGACTTGGGGAGAACCTTTGCTCTTGAGTAGACCCTGGTGTTTGGGGCAGGGCCTCAGCAAGGAGGAAGTGGAGCTGTCCCCTTCGGGGACCTGAGTTGGCCTTAGAAGAAACAGTGCTTGCATTGCATCTGGCTGCAGAGACACAGACAGCTCACTGCGTTCTGGGGCCAGACCATGATGTACTTGTGTTTATATGGCTCACATGTGTCTTTGGTATCTCCATATTAACATTTCCCAAGCATGCATACAAATTGGCTTGTGGTTATACAAAGCTGGCTGTGGTTTTCTGAATTCTGTGTAGTGACTCATGAAGAAGGCATACCAAAATGCAAACGATAAGGGAAACGGCACAACATGCAAAATGCAGCCCGGGGGGACAGCATATACAAAAACATGCCCACAACTGAAAATCTCAGCACAAAATATTCTATATGGGGAAATCACTCAGGAGAAAAATGTGGGCATTTGGAAAAGTGTGCATAAGAATGCATCCATTAGGAGAAATACAAGTTTTTGCATTGTGGTTATTATTTATTAGATTTATATCCCACCTTTTACAAGGAACTCAAAGCAGCTTACACCCTTCTCCTCCCTCCTCTTCTCAGTCTTATCCCCACAACAACAGCCCTGTGAGGTAGGTTGGGCTGAGAGTCCATGACTGGCCCAAGTCACCCAGTTTGGCCCCATGGCTGAGCGGGGACTGGAACCCGGATCGCCTGAATTCCAGTCCTGCGCTCTTAAGCACAGTACCACACTGCCTCTGCTTAGCCATTTTACAAGAGGAAAACGACAAACCGATGCGGAAATGGAATGGAACAAATTTCACACTGGCAGAAGCAGAAACGGAGAAGAATCAGATGTAAACGTTCTGCATCCCCTCCCTGTTTGCAGAGCAAGCTGTGTGTGCACAAGTCACCTTGTTCTAGGAAGGGGTGCATAAGAAAGCAGGTTCTACCTTCTCCCCTCCCAGCTCTGCTAGCAAAAATGGGCCGGGAGCAGTGACATGCGCTTGGATCCAGCAAAGGTTTGGAGAGCCAGTGTGGTGTTGTGGTTCAGAGCCTGGGACTGGGACTCAGGTGATCCGGGTTCAAGTCCCCTCTCGGCCATGGAGCCAACTGGGTGGCTTTGGGCCAGTCGCAGACTCTCAGCCCAACCTACCTCACAGGGTTGTTGTTGTGGGGATAAGATGGAGGAGGAGAATGATGTAAGCTGCCTTGAGCCCTTTGTAGGAAAAAGGCAGGAGATAAATCGGAAAATAAATAAAAATAAATAACATAAAAAAGGTGAGGTGTGAGGCCCAACCACACCTGTTGGAATTAAAGCCCACCCATTCCACCACTTCGTGGGCTGAACGCCCTGCAGGATCTGGAGGGAAGCGACTGTTCCGCTGGGGATCAGGCCGCTGCCAAAGCAAGCTTCTTCCACACGCGCCGAGCGAGGTGTGGTGGTGGGCAGGGCGGCCAGAGCAAAAGATCGCTGGAGGTCTGTCGCTCTGGTCGCCCAGAAGCCACTTCCGACTCTGGTCGTCATGGTCTTCCGCAGGTCCGCCTTTCTAAAGCAGACATACTGTTCATGCCACTCGCTTTCAGAATGGCACGCGGCCCTCCGCCACACCTGGCTGCAGCTTTCTGCCGAGTGAGGCCTTGAACCTTCTTACCCTGTGAAAATGTGGGGCTTGTTTGTTTGGGTAGGGGAGTGAATGGACTCCCACTCCGAATTGCCCAGTTGGCAAACCTTGGCGAATAATGACCTTTCTGTGCTTGTTCTCTCTGCCTCTGCCTCTGTGTGTGTGTGTGTGTGTGTGTGTTGTGTGTGTTCTTCATGGATTTCTACCTCTCTTTCCAGGGCAACATTGTGGCCATGAAATATGTGAACAGGAAGCGCATCGACCTGACACGCACCATCCTCTTTGAGCTGAAACATGTAAGTGTGCCGGCTGGTATTTGTCTCCTATCTCTTCGAAGAGCAGAAGGACAGCTGGGAAAATGGCTGTAGCTCCAGAGTGGAGGGTCAAGGGGGACAGAGGTGTTGGCCTGTCGTTTATTCCCATGGTAGGAGCTGGCATCATCATCAAATAATAACAATAACAATAATATGATAACTTGCCACTCCCCGGGTAAATCAGTTCTTAAAGCGGCTTACAAAGAAGTATTGATCTTGTACTAATTCCTTATACAGCGGCTGCAAGGATGCCGGCCAGGGTCCAAATCCGGCTGACCTAGGATTCCACTATATGACCTGTGGTTTTCCAGGCAGCTGCGCCCCCCTTTCACCTCCCCCCCCCTTTTGGTCGCTTCCCAGCTTTTGCATGTTCGCCACCCTTATTCTAAAAGCTGGAAATGCTGCTCCTAAGATCCCATTTTTAGCAGCCAGAGCTTGGGCTGAAAAAGTGAAAAAAGCGCCCCCCCTTTTTTTGGTGAAATTTGGCTTCTGAGAGCTTTCCCAGAAGTGAATTGGTCTTTTGGGCTGAGAGGGGTTCAGTGCCCCGATCGATGTATCTTGCATGACTGAGGGTTTCCAGAGATGTGTGTAATCTTACACATACACACGTGTGTGCACACATACACAGAGCCCCCCGACTGAGTGGCTGGTTGGCCATGATGCTAGACCAAAAGAGTGGTCTCCTTCGCTGAACTGCCTGAGCCCCTACCAAAGGCCTTAAAAAGGCTGCATCCCGGAGCCAACCTCCACCCTTCCTGGGTTCCCCTCCCGAAGCAGGAATACCGCCCTCTTAGCCTTCCGCCTCTTCACACCGTGCCCCATTCCTCCTTGGCTCTTCGCCTCCCCTTTGCAGCCCTTTCGTGGGTGACTGGCGGGGGGAGCCATGCCGTTGGGGCTTTTTCAGGCCCAGGTCTGAGATGGCTCATTAGCAGAGAGGAAAGCACGGCAGAAGGGGGTCAAGTCCTGTGGACCGCACGGCACCAAGGCTAATGACTCATTAGCGAGGAAGCAGGGAGAGCTGCCTGCCTGTTCCACCTGTAATGATCAATCAGAGCGGCTCTGCGTGCGCCCGTGTGCAAGCAAGCCAGAAGATAAACATGAATCTTGAAGTGCCATCCTAGCAAGCAGAGATAATCGTCGGGAGCAAAGGCTGGAAGAGCGACGGATAATTTGCTTCCTGCCTGTTTTTTCTCTCTCCTCTTTTCGGCATGAGCGTGTGTTTACCCTTCCTCTGGCCCGGCCTGTCAATCAGCGCCATCCCTGTTGCGTGTGCTGTGTTGCCCTTCCCCATGTGTGTGGCTGCCGTTTGTCGCCACGGTGTGTCTCGTGGAACTGGGACGCCTCTCTCCGCGTGATCTCCCAGCAGTTTCTGAGCACATTCCGGCATTCGGAGCCCTCCTCTCAACCCTGCACTCACGCACCCTCCAAAATACACGCTGTCCCTACCCCAGGAACAAGTAAAGCTTGGTACAGAGCAGCCAGTATGGAACTGTTCCCTTGTGGAATTGGGCCTCTCCATTTTTCTCTGGGCCGGTGTTTCTCCCATTCCGGTTGGAATTCCTGATTTTGAGGGGAGGGGGGTGTCATTAGGCTTGTGGTTGATTGGGTGCCTTACGCCGGGGAGAGCAGAGCCCTGCTACCCAAGCTCTGGTCATCCAGGACGGAAGAGTTTGCAACCATGCCTTACAGTACATTCCCAAGTGTCCTGATTGAAATCTCTTGGACCCCCCCACCCCTCTGCCATTTGAGGAGTTTAAGCTTTAAGAAGGGAAATCCTCATTTCCCTGTGCTTGGGTCTTGTTCGCTCATTATCCAGCTGCTAAAATTACCAAGTAGCTTCCATGTGAGATAGGAATGTGTGATAGGAAAGGCTCAGCTGACTGTCACATGGGCATTCGTTTCCAGGTATTTATTTTTACTCCTGTGTGTTTCCATTAGGTCCGTTGAATCTGAATGTGTCTGAGTGCCATAAAAGCTTGAAAACATGTTGCCTCTTTTACTCTAAAACACGGGACCTTCATAAAGTCTCCTTTATGGAAGAGGCCAAGCAGAGAGGAAGGCGATCCGAGTGGTGAAATATTATTTTGGGTGCTGTTGTTCACATCTTTGCACACTCCCAGCTATCTCTGCCGAGTGGCTTTGCCGCGGCCGCCAGGAACATGCTTTTCAAAATCCAGCCATCCCTGTGGAAAATGTGGGACTTCTGTGTCCCTCATACAATCATAGATTTGAAAGAAGCCTTTGAAGCCATTCAAAGTCCACCCCTTCCTCAGTGCAGGATCAGTCACGCCGACTCAATGGTGGGAGCAGGACACGTGTCTCTGCTTGCAGAATGCAAGGCGTGTTTTCTACCAGACTTGTCAGAACGGTTTGCGCTCTTGTGAGATCTGTGCGTTCGCAGCATGTTTGGTCCCCTGGCGAGTTGCGAGCCCTTTAAACATGCCTCCATGCTCTTTCCAGATGCGAGATGTTCAGAACAAGCACCTGACGCGTTTCATCGGCGCCTGCATCGATCCCCCGAACATATGCATCCTGACCGAGTACTGCACTCGTGGGAGCCTCCAGGTACTTTCGGAACAGGGCACTGGGAGGAGAGAAGGGTAGGAAGAACCCGTAAGCAATGACTGGCGCAGGGGAAGGCTGGATCCCAGAACCCCTGGGTTCTTTCCTGCATCCTGAACGGGCTGGGTGAGCTGGTGAGGGTCCAAGCAGTCCACAGAGCAGAGGCAGGTTGGGGAACGGGGCAACCAAGCACCTGGCACTGCTTGGTTTTCATTACTGACGCAGCTGCCAGTGGAGGCGGATAGCACCATTTCTTTGGCAACGGGGTGACTAACTGGTAGGCCTGATGAAAGACTGACCTCCGTGGCTCACGATAGTGTTGGGATGCTCCGAAGAGAGCGCTTCAGCGAAGCCTTTTCAGCTTGGCACGGCAGCCTTTCTCAAGGCCGGGCTGCTTGAGCGTTGCCAAGCACAGCTGGACTGCATCATGCAGAGACAGACATGGACGAGGCTCCTGCGGGGCAGCGAGCATCGGCTTCGCCATGTCGGGATGAGCCCAGGTGCCCCTTCCTTTCTGAGCGTTTACTCCCTGGAAAAGCCTTTTTTTTTTTTTTTTTAAATAGTCCGTGTTGTGTTTTGCTGCCTTCAGCCGAGTCGTGCGAAGGATTCAGGCGGGGGCAGGCAAAGGATTTTTAATTAAAAGGAGAGGCTACAGCGGGGGAATGGCGGTCCTCTCTGCGCAGAAAGTGAGCGCTCCATGGGGCCAATTCCAAGAGGGATGATTTATAGTGCGGCAGGAAGGCGGTGCAGGCTGGGGAGGGGAAGGCAGGAGAAGGGGAACAGCGATTTCGACAGCCCTGGATTCCTGGCTGCCTGCTGGAGATAAACATTTCCTCTTACAAGAGACAGATGAGAGAGAAAAAGGGAGGCAGGAGAGCTGTGTGGAGGGGAAGAAAGGGAGAATCCGAGGGGAAACTCAGCGGCAATATGGAGCTACGTGGGTGCGATCACTGTGGATGCAGGAGAGGAAACACGAGCTCAGACTGTCCAGCTTGGATCCAGGTTCAAGTCTCCACACAGTCATTTATGTATTTATTTATTTACAACTTTTCTATACCATTTCATCACAGGAGTCTCAGTTTTCAACAGACGAATGCAATAAAATAAAAATAGAAATAAGAGGAACAGTCGCTCATCATCCGATGTTAAAATATAAACCCACTAAATAAAACAGGGTAACAATTAAAATACTGGGAGAATAAAAAGGGTTTCGCCTGATGCCTGAAAGGAAAGAAGGGTTGGTGCCAGGCGAACCTCTCTGGGGAGCATGTTCCACAATCGGGGCACCACCACAGAGAAGGCCCTCCTCTGGGTAGTCACCCTCTTGATCTCTTTCAAGGACGGCTCCCGTCATAAGCTCACTGGGTGACTTTGGAGCCAGTTCCTTAACCCTGCAATGCCATTCAGAAGTGATGCTTGCTGGGTGACCTCAGGCCTGTTGTACGGGCTTAGCCTAACCTACCTTGCAGGGCTGTTGTATGATAAAAGTGGTGGGAGGGAAGTTTGGGGTTTGCCGGCCATCCTGAGCCACACCTGTGCTAAAGGGTGGAATAAAATGATTGTTTTGACATACAACTTCCAGATGTTTTGACATACAACACCCAGTGGGGGATGAAGGACAATGGGAATTACTGTCCAGAACATCTGCAGCAGCCCTCCCCTGGGCCTTAGGTAGATCACAGATTCTGAACCACTGCTTTTCCATTCAACATTGCTGATCTCAAAGCAAGAGGCAATAATTTGGTCTAAATAGAGCCGGTATCTGGAGTTTTTGGTGGGCTACCTGATTCCCCTCCCAACAGCTTCACCCCAATCTGCTGGCTTCACCTGCCTGCTGGTCTTGCCACCTGCTCCGTTAAAACTGAGCCCTGTCGCCTGATTAAAGATACCTTGTTGAAATATCAATTTACTTTTAATCCTTATCCTCTGCATGGGTGCAGATAGGACAAATCAGTAGTTCTGAAGGGGGAAAAGCAGTCTTTCTTCCTATATAGAAGCACCAGTGAGAAAGAAGCATCTTGCTGAGCCAAGGAGAAATAATCTAAGTTGCTGTCCACAGTCTCTGGTGTCTATATAAAATTTACTTAACCTTTTAAAAATACTGTGTTACCTGACCGATCAGGTATGCCTTTTTAGTCACTTGAAGCTGCTTTTAATTGGGTACCATTTCAAGGCTGTATCCACATTTAAGTCTCATCCACAAATCTGTTCTGAGCGCCACCCTGCTGAACAGGAGGCATTTCACACCTGTTCCCTGCTTGTCCTTATAGAAACAGGCCGAGTCAGAAGGGGCCTCCTGAGCCATCTAGTCTGACCTTTGGCTCCAGCCAGCTCCGCTCACGACATGCCCACCATGTGCATGTCCTTATTTTCCCTTATATGTCATGATTTTTTAGATTTTAACTTGTAAGGGCAGGGACTGTCTTGCTGCTTATTGATCATTCTTATTTGAGCTACTCCTGCAATGTTTTTCCCCTGGAAGACCAGGGCAAATCTGATATTAAATAAATAATAAAACCACAGTAGCTACTTCTGAAGGAAGTCTGAAGGGACCAGTTGTCGAATTCTCCTCGTTTTCACATTTAGCAGAAACAAAGATAAACATGCACCATGAGTATGAATTAGATGCTGTTATAGCAGGGTTATGAACAGGAAATACTGTTAGGTTCCTAAAAGAAACAGATAAACCGCAATATCGCCCCAATTGTTGAAGCATCCTTTGTCAGCACAACTGGCATCCTTGATTTCAGATGCGATTCTTTGCAAAGAGTGCTAGCATTTTTTTGAAAAATTCCAGGCCAAGCTTGGCCCTTACAAAGCATGAATGTATAAATTAGAAACCAGCAGTGGGTGGGGTGGGAGGAGAAGGAAGGAAGCCCCCAACAACCAGCCTCGGTGTGGGGGGAGGTCCTTCTGAGTCTAATTTGGACCCCTCTCTCTCTCCTTTTAGGATATCCTGGAGAATGACAGCATTACCCTGGACTGGATGTTCCGCTATTCGCTCACCAACGACATTGTTAAGGTAACTAAGACCTTCCGGAAAGGCTTGCTGGCCTGGACTGAAGACCCATCGAATTCTGCACACAGCGGCCAGGGAGATGGCCCCACAAAGCTGAGAAGCGGGGCTGAAAGGCAGCAGCTGCCCAACTCCGCTTCAGCACTGCCGTGCTGCTTGCAGGGCATTCCGGCTCTGGTGCGGGTGGAGGAAGACTGGGCAGGGAGCAGGAGGCAGGCCCAGGGTTCGAGCCGAGCAGAAGGCCAAGGGGGCATCGCCCAAGGCCTGGCGAAGCCGCGAAGCCATGGCTGGGGATGCCCTCGGCCAGTGGCAGAGTGCCGCTCAGACTGCTTGGCCGCGAGGTCTCGTGGGGTCCGGGGTGTCCGCTCAGCTGCAGCGTTGACGGACTCTCCGCAGGATGGAGCGGCGGTCCGGTGGAGCCCCCTTTCCCACAGCCTTGCCGCTTCCACATCTCTCCCTCTTGACCCCCGGTCTCTTCCTCCTCCTCTCCAACCAGGGGATGCTCTTCCTTCACAACAGCGTGATCAGCTACCACGGCAACCTGAAGTCCTCCAACTGCGTGGTGGACAGCCGCTTTGTGCTGAAGATCACGGACTACGGGCTGGAGACCTTCCGCCAGGCGCCCGAGACCGACGACTCGCACGCGCTCTTTGCCAGTGAGAGAGGGGCCCAGGGGCAGGGGGCTGGGTGAGTTGGCGCAGGAGTGCCGGGAGCAGCGGATGCCGAGACCTGCCCTGCCCTGCCCCGCCCCGCCCCGCCTGCAGGGGCATCTGGCTTGAAGGAGGGCAGGTCCGCCATTCCCCACGCCAGCGGTGGCACGGTCTTAATTGCCTTGCAGACCAAGATGCGGGTGGCCGACCATCCTGTGCAAAATAATCGTTTCTGTGAGGCAGGGGCATGCTGGGGGCCGTGGACGCTGACCTTGGAACACCTGTCGGGGCCCCACATGGGATTTCTGGAGTGCTCGTTCAGGCGTGGTGCCTTGGCACCGATCCCGGTGGCCAGTGCCAGCTTCAGGCCTGTGCGAGGCCCTGGCAAGCCCCTCGGCGCGTTCCCCCTCCACCAGGAAGCCTACCTTCCCACCACCCTGGTGAACATCAGCCCCTCCTACCCCCCACGGCCTTCACCTTCTTGCCTGACAGAGAGCCGGGGAGCACGGAGGCTGCCACATCCTCCACCGCTCCTTCCTGCCCCCCATCATCCTGGGCCAAAGGGGAGGCAGGCGAACAAGCAGGCTGCTGTGATAACGCAGAGGAGCAAATCCAGGCAGGCTTCCACCCATGGGCCCCGGCTGCCCCGGAGCCCTGTGGCAGATGCCCAGCCGCGCCTGGCCTGGCCTGGCCTGGCCTTGAAGCAGGCCCTTTGGAACGAGTGCCTCTCACGGCAGACCAGATCGGATTCTCCAGGTGCTGGCCAGTGGGTTGGCCAGGGTGACCCGCAGTGCCATGGGTCTCCGCTGGAGATCCTCCCTCAGGAGCCCTCCCCCCGCACCTTTCCTATGAGGTTCCTCAACGCCGCCCTCACGCTTCCCCTAGAGAAACTGTGGACGGCCCCCGAGTTGCTCCGTGCAGAGACGGCCTCCTCCCCACTGGGCACCCAGAAAGGCGACGTCTACAGCTTCGGAATCATCCTGCAAGAAATCGCTCTGCGCAACGGTGTCTTCTACATGGAGGGAACGGACCTGAGCCCCAAGGGTGAGAGTGGGGCGGGGTGACCCTTCCCCTTCCCACCCCGGGTGCAGCAGTCCACATGCCTGTGAACGGGGGGGGGGGGGGGGGGTTTCCCCCCCCCCCCCCCCCCCCGGGGGCCCCGCCCCCCAGCCTGGGGGGGGGGGGGGGGGGGGCTCTTTCGCCCCACGTGCCACCCTGAGCAGTGCCTGCAGAACATTCTTCCTGCTGCTTGAGGGCAAAGCTTTAAGTCCAGCATTTTTGGTGAGCAGAGGAAGGGGCTTTTTTTCCTCGTTTGTGGGTGGTTGTTGCAGGAAATCGCAAACCCTGCACAGCAGGCAGCCTCCCCTGGACAGTGTCGCGGGTGCAAATGGGACGCTGCCTTTGGTCCCTTTCTCCTGATTTTGGAACAGCCTAATTCTGTTTCTTGGCATCTCTTCAGTAAGGAAGAAAAAACCCTCTCTATTACTTTGCATGGGGAATTATAGCGGGAGAAGCCCACCTACCTTTTGGACTGGAAGGTGCCGGGAAGCACTGCTGTGGTTTGTTTCTCTGGACAGGGGTTGCCTCTCTACCTGCCCACGTCCTATTACTCCCTGACCCCAAAGAGGAAAGCCTTACTTTGCTTTCAATCGCTTTTGTGTTTTTTGCCACCCACGTTTTCCTGCCATGGGGGTCCAGATAGAATACAAGAGGGTGGTCTCCCTCCCAGGGAATGACCAGATTGGGATCGGCTTGGCTTGTTCCCTGGCTCTGCACCACTTCCCTCGGGTCTGGAGGAGACGTGGGGAGCTTCCTCTCCCCCCGCATTAATTTCTCCTTGGTCCATTTCTCTCTACGCCCGCTTGCCGCTTTCAGAAATCATCGAGCGCGTGAAGAATGGCGAGCAGCCGCCCTTCCGCCCCTCGGTCAACCTGCCGTCCAGCCTTGAGGAAGTGGTGCTCCTCATGCAGCGCTGCTGGGCTGAAGACCCCCAGGAGCGCCCCGACTTCCAGCACATCAAAGGCATGCTGCGGAAGTTCAACAGGTGCAAGCCCTGTCCCGAGCCCCTCCTTGACTGCAGGCTGCGCGTGCGTCTCTGGAGGATGAGTGGTGTGACGCTGTTGCGTTCCATCCCACGGGAACGTGGGGAGGAATATTGTCCTAGCGGGAAATATTGTGGGGTGGGGGTTTAAGGATGCGTCCTGGGAGGGAGCTGGGAGAAGACCGTAGAAGGATTTGTTGGTAGGCGCTGTCCCGTTGGCTCTGACTTACGGCGACCCTCCAAATGTCCAGTCCTTGGCAGCCCTGCCAGCTCCAGACTCTGCACCCACCCAGCCTTCTGTGTTTAAATTTAAATGCATTAAGCAGGAATTGCACTGATGTTTTTATTTTAGCGCTTTAAAAAATGGAAGGGCCCGTCACTTGCCCCTCATCCCCAACCGCCTTTCCCTCCATTCGCCAGAACGCCGGCAGGTGGGAACCTGCTTTGTGCTTCCCACAGGGTTACCGGATCAAATCCTGCCTCCACGCTCTCACGTGGGTCTCTGGTAGCGGGACTAGAAACGGCGCTTTTGAGCAATCCATGAGCAGGGGGGGAATAGATGCAGCCTTGGACGCATCAGCCTGGGATGTGTGTCCGACAGGGAGAACAGCTGCAACCTCTTGGACACGCTGCTGTCGCGCATGGAGCAGTACGCCAACAACCTGGAGGAGCTGGTGGAAGAGCGCACCCAAGCCTACCTGGAGGAGAAGCGCAAAGCGGAGGCCCTGCTCTACCAGATCCTGCCCCAGTGAGTCAGCCTCCCTCACGCCCCTCTGCTGACGGCCCTGGCTGCTCCGAGCATCCTTCCTCCGCTCAGGTTGCGTTCTCCCGGCACCCCCAGCCGAGCCCCACGCCCGGTCCCCAATAGACATCCTCCCCCCCTCCCCTTGCTGGCTCTCTGGTGAGCGCACCTCCGTGGTGGACCAGTGTCACTCCCCACCTGCCCGTGTGGGGGTCCTCGCCTGCGCAGGACCACCACAGTGAGGCGCGCCGCTCGCCTTCCCCCGCAGCTCGGTGGCGGAGCAGCTGAAGCGAGGGGAGACGGTGCAGGCGGAGGCCTTCGACAGCGTCACCATCTACTTCAGCGACATCGTGGGCTTCACAGCGCTGTCGGCAGAGAGCACCCCCATGCAGGTGATCTGCCCGCTCCCAGGGCAACCTTGGCTCTCCGCGATCCAGAGCCCCTCGAGCGACCTGCGCACCCCCCAGCCTCCGAGTGCGATGGCAGTGCGGGGGGGCAGAATCCCGGCCTCGCGTGGGTGACGGGGCTGGTTGGGGGTCAGCCCCGCTTGCACACAGGTGGAACGGAGCAGGTAACCAAGGGTGACCCGATTGAGACCGTGCAGGCACTGCAAGGGCCCAGCCACCAGGCGACCGTGGGTCGATGGCCGTGGGAGCCAGGACGGCACAGACAGGGAGGCGCTCGCCGTCACCGGGGAAGCGAGTCTGTCACGTGGGTCGTGGACCACAGGACACGAGGAGCAGAGGGCCACGCGCTGTGTGTGTGGCCGGCGGGGCGGGGATTCCTTGCTGGCTTGCTTAGCAAGGTGCTCGCAGCCACGTGCTGCAGCGAGGAAGACCAGGAGGAGGGAAGAGCAGAAAGAGCGAGGGCGTGAGTGGGGGCCGACCAGACCAGCCTCCCCCAGCCTGGTGTCCCGCAGAGGCTTTGGGCAAAATCTCTCGGTGTTCTAGATAGTAGACTATTCTGTCCGGGAGTGAGGGGCATTCAAGGCAGAGACCTCTAGGTAGGGCTTGCGGCTCCGCTGAAAAAAGAGAAGTTAGAAACGGAAACGTCTTGCTCTTGCGTGTTCTGCCCCGAATCCTGTTAGGTGTGGACTGCAGATCTTGCAGCCCTGCAGCTCGGTGGCAAAGCACACGGTTTGCATGCCCGGGTCCCCGATTCCATCCCTGGCATAGCCCTGTAAGTCAGTAAGCTACTTGTGTTTACCTTCACAGGTGGTGGCCCTGCTGAATGACTTGTACACCTGCTTTGATGCCATCATTGATAACTTTGACGTCTACAAGGTGAGAGGTTCTCAGCCTGGTCAGCCTGAGAGGTGGGGGGTCAGGATGGGCCACCCAGAAACACTGGTTGTCTGGGCAGGCGTTGTCCCTGGGGGGTGTACAGCCTGCCATGCGTGCCTCTCCACCTTGCCCACATCCAGGTGGAGACCATCGGCGACGCGTACATGGTGGTGTCCGGCCTGCCGGTTCGCAACGGCCGCCTGCATGCCCGGGAAGTGTCCCGCATGTCGCTGGCACTTCTCGAGGCCGTCCGGAACTTCAAGATCCGCCACCGGCCTGAGCAGCAGCTGAAGCTGCGCATTGGGATCCACAGTGGTGAGGAACTGGAGCCGGCCGCGTGAGCATGTCTGTAACAGGAAGAAGGGGGGCTGTCCAACACCAGGAGGGTTTGGACATAATTCCAAACCATGGTTTGTCGCGATGTTTGAACTAATGTCAGAATCATAAGCCATCCCAAGATGTTTGTAGGGGACAGGATAGAAAAGCTTTCAATAAATAAAATAAATCAGAGGAATGATAGCTTGACAACTGCCAGCGAACAAGCCGTTTGGGCAAACTGGATTTGATTTGATGTTGCGTCCATTACAAAAATAAGGAGCCCAAACTTAGTCCAGAGCATCTCCAAGGCTGGCTAGAAAAACTGCCGAAAATTTCGGCAGCCACTGCTCAGCGGTGCAAGGACGGATCCAGCTGTTTCACAAGGGACAGCCTGTGTTCCTCGGTCTTGACACGTAAGTTCTCCCCAGATGCCTTGTCTTCGGAATAAGCTCCAGAGAAGCACAGGGAAAAGGGGAAGATGGAAAACACACGTGCCAGGGTTTACTGTGTCAGAAGGCATGACCCGGAAGGCCCCTTGCCATGCATGTCCGCCTCTCTTTTCCCATCCCAAGGTCCGGTCTGTGCCGGGGTTGTGGGCCTGAAGATGCCGCGTTATTGCCTCTTTGGGGACACGGTCAACACAGCCTCACGCATGGAGTCCAACGGGGAAGGTGAGCCGACGTGGCGCTGATGTCCGCACCTCTTGAAAACACTTATTTAGGAAACCTTTCCAGAACTGACCCGCCATAGTTTTCTCAATTTTGTTCTGAACACATTTTGTCTGTCCACCTCTTCTGCTGTTTCCTGCTTTAAAATACCTCTATCCAAAGGTGGGGTGCTATATAAATTTTGTCAATAAAGTTACGAACAAAATGAGCAGTTGAAGTTCAGTGGGTATGTGGCAGAAGAGCGGCCCAGAACCACCAGAGGCAGCCCCCTGCCCACCGGATGGTTTGGACAACTCCCATCTGCCCCGGCAAGGATGATGGGAGCTGCAGTCCAGAAGAGCTGGAAGGCAGTAGCTGGCTTATTCCCGGCCTACAGAAAACCCTCAGGGATGGCAGCGCCTTTTGCTCTTCACTAAAGGGCTTGGCAGAGCGGCCACAAGCCACTCCTTCAGTGCTGGGCCTTCTGGACCCACCCCTGTGACTTGGTGTCCCCTGGCTGGGGCTGATGGATGTTGCAGTCCCAAATATCTGGGTGGTGGAACGTGGTATTAACCGGGAGCTGAGGGCAGGGCTGCCTCGCGACTGGTTTTTAGATGCTATTCTGGGAGCCCCTTTGGCTCCAAAGCATTTTAACTAGACATGTACTTACAACTTATTATGTCCCTCTGGTCATTCCAGCCCTGAAGATCCACCTGTCCGCAGCCACCAAATCCATCCTGGAGGAGTTTGGGTGCTTTGACCTGGAACTCCGTGGGGATGTGGACATGAAGGTAAGAGGCAGAACAGCGGCTTGGCAGGCAAGCGCGATGGAATTCGCCAGCTCCAGGAAGAGGCGCTGGCCCCTGGCTGAGAGATCAGACGTCTTGCAGGAGACAGTCCTCTCTGGCCAGACTGGGGTCCTCCAGAGGTTGGGGCCTTGCGGTCTACTTCGCCCCGGCCAGAACGCTCTGGCAAACCGGGAGCTGTAGTCCAAAACATCTGGAAGGGGTCCGGCTGGGGGCAGCAGATCTGCTGGGCAGCACTGGCCCGGCAGCCTTTCCTGCAGACTTTTCCCAGTCCTACCTGGAGAGGCCAGGAACCGAATGGGAGACCTTTCCGTGGCAAGCAGTTGCTCCACCCCTAAACTTGGGCCCCTTGCTCTTCTTACCCTCGTTCACTCACTACTGGACTCCTTCCCTTCATCCTTTCCCTCTCCTCCCAGCACCCGGTTCCTCCTTGCAGCCTGAGACTTGAAGCACTGCTGCGTGGGCCCTCCCCTCACGGCTCCACGTCATCCAGGGTCATCCTGTGGATGCTGTGCTCCCAGTTCCACCCCACCCGCGGAAGCAGAGTGCTGGCTTTCCGTTATCTGGCAGCCATGGGGCTTTTCTTGCACAGTGGCACTGGGACCCACTCACTCCCTCTGCAGAACAACAGCCGTGTCCTGGCTCCCCTACAAAGAGCGACGGAGGCTTTAACAGAGTGGAGCTCTTCAGCTTGCCAGCATTTTAATTCTCTTTGTTGATCCGCAGGTGGCAGCCGGAGGTGGTGGGAGGTGGTGGTGCTTCCTCCTCCTCCTGTTTTGCGTCTTTCAGCTTGGAAGATGCTGGGCAGATACCAGCATCTTTTAACTGATTATTTACAAGCAGCTCCCAGAGCCTTTTTAATTGAGGAACAAAAGTGTTTTGCAAAAAAAACCCCACGTGTTTTTGCAGAAGTTTTTCACAGCAACTTTGAACACACATCACACCTGATGTTCTAACGGCCCTTCTCTCTCTCCCTCTCTTTGCCCTGCAGGGCAAAGGGAAACTCCGGACGTACTGGCTGCTGGGGGAACGAGTCAGCAGCACCCGGGGCTGATGGGCTGCGGTGCTCCTACAGGACATGAGGACACCCCATCCTCTTGGTTTCCTAAGACTCCTCGTGGACCAAAGAGACTTGGCCGGGGGTCGGGGGGATCCCGGACTGAGCCCCCAGGACCCCTATGCCCTGGCCCTGTGTCTGCACTGTGGGCCTTTCGAGCGCGAGTCTCCCGCACCGTCTGGCCTGGGTCGCACCCTGAGCTCCAGAGACTGGGCAGGATGCAGCTGGCCGGGGGCAAACGTAACGCCAGCTACTTTCTTCTGCGGCTCCTTGGTCTGTGTCACGCAGGCCCTGTTGTACACGACCAGCAGAAAACATCGGCCACTTCGTGGTCAGAAGTTCGTAGCCCTGGCCCGAGAGATGATCACACATGCCATGGACCACCTTCTTGTCTCTCCAAAGGTTGAATGTCAGAAACATTTAGAATGAACTTGGCATCACGGTTAGGTCTGGGGTGGGACGGGGAGAGGAGAAAGCATTGACTAGCACCTAAATTGTCACTTGCACACGCCCTGATCGTTTCAGGAAGCTTCAGCTTTTGTAATAAAACGCAAACGTATCGCCCTTTACCTTCCCGAGTCCTGGATCTGATGCACACGTTGCCTTGGAAGTCTTGTCTCTTAATCCCCGTGCTTGGATGGTCTGGGAGTGATCATGCCACTAGGAAGGAGGTAGCCCTCTGTCCATGCTCAAGGATACTTTTTGCTACCTCACCTAACCTGGGGTTGAAAATAGACTGTGAGTAAAACGGTGTGTTGGGATGGAATCAAAGCTGGCCGTGGACACGTATAGGATTTTCATCGGGATCAGTGCAGGGGGGGCACGTGACTTCCCCACATGCTGCGGTCCTTGTACTTCAGGGTCTGCGCCATGCCTGCTTTTGAATAAAACCGAAACAGCCATGCACGAGGGCGATTACGAGCACGACACACCATGTCGGTCAGAAAACGCGATTCCTGCCATCTTGGTGCATGTAGCTCGGCCCGTCCTCTCGGCCCGTCCTGTGTTCCCCTTTTCTTCTGTTTGCTGTTCCAGGGTTTGTACAGGCAGTCACAGCTTTAAACTCCAGCAGGCTGCTTTTTCAAACGTATTTGGCCCCGCACCCCATGTGCCTTTGGCCCCATCCACCCTGGGAATAAGGCCCCCAGAGCTCCTCTGAAACTGAATCCGGCCCTCCGGCTGAACAAGCCCGGCATTTGCCGCAAGACGTGATGAGGGCTGCAGGCCCTGCGAGTTTTCTGTGCAATTCGGGCTTGATAATGTGCTTCAGCAAACAATGGTTCTTGCAAATCAGGAAGTGAGGGAATCAGGAGTGCCTGTGTGAGGAAAGGAAGTAAGCGAGTTTTTCTTCGAGCTCCCACCCTGGATTGGCTTCCTGTTCTAAGGCCCCCTATTCCTAGTTGTCCCTGTATTTCTTTCCTTATTTTTTACTCCTTGGGGGCTCATAGCAGCTCTGAGGTGTGTGGCACTTAAGTCCGGAAAACAGCATAAGGGCAGTTCCAGGTTTGCTGCCTGGCTGATGAGCCCTGTCAGAAATCCGGAGACCCCCGCCAGTCAGTGTAAGCTAAAGGTGGGCAGAAAGTAAGCTGGGTTCTACCAGCAGCCATTGCTTAACAGAAGCTACGGCGATACGGTTTTCCTCCCTTCAACGAGGCGGCCAAAATGAAGACGGCTTGGGCTAGCAGGGTGTGAGCTCCTACATGAAGAGCTTGTAAAAAGTGCTCGGTTCCAGTGCTGAAAGCAAATCACTCGGTTCAGAAGGTGCTCAGAGACAGTTTGTTCCTGAATGGGTGTGTGTGTGTTACTTGGCTCTATTTATTCGGTGGAACTTGCGGTTCTTGTAAAGAGCTTGGACAAACCTGAGGTCTGTCCAACCTGCTTTGCGGGCAGCACTAAGATAGACAGACCAATTGTTGTGTTTATACTGCAGCTTTGTTCTGAATTTTCCTTCCTTCGGAATTGCTTTAAAATGTGGTTGGGTGATTCCTGTCTCAGATAATAGGCATCGTATCTGCCTTGGTTGTGACTGTTCACCAGGCCGGCAGCCTAACTTTATGTTAGTGGCTGAATTGTATGATATGGCCTGAGGATGAAATGACATTTTCTTTCTTTTAATCTCCTGCCTGTTACTTCTAAAAAGCCGGATGCTACAAGAAAGGGTAATTAACAGATTGGCCTTTCATTTCCTTTGAGCCAGTCACAGTCCTATTACTTAGCATCTCACGTGAAATGTATTTCCCTTCCTGCACGGAAAAGAACACTTGATATGTCAGAAATGTGAATCACAAGAGAGATTGCAAACTGCACCAGCAACTCGAAAAGGAAAACAGGAATATTCTTTACATGATGCGATGCCCTTGTGTTTTCATTTCTAAGAATTCTCATTTCTAAAGCAGAAGCCCTTGGGCATATTTCTTATCAGAGCACCCTGCTGGTTTCTGAATCTTGTCTCTTCCTACCTAGAAATAATTTCTTCCTCGGTTTTGATGATTACATATATATTTATGTTATGGTTGGTGGAGAGAAAATGCTAATTTTTCCTTCCCGAGAAGAGCCTCAAGGTTTGTACCAAAATCCATGAAAAATAAAACACACATGAACAGGATGAAAAGCTAATGATGTCAACAGACTTCAAGCCACATCTTTCCAAATTGGGTTACAAAGGCCTGCTTTGGTAAAAACGTACTTATTTTCCCAACTCGGGCCGATGTCTTTGTTCTTCAAATCCTTCCTCTGCGAGGAAAAAAAAAGAAATAACAGCCAGGACACAGCGCTATGGAGTGGAAGTGTAAGTTGGAGCAAGTCACAAGATGGTGCCCAGTGGAAGCTAGCATTAGCTGGCATAACATTGTATTGATACCTAATTCCTCTCGGGAAGTTCCACAGAACAACTTAACTCAACTGCTCAGCCCTCCCTGTTTCAGGCAGAATTTACTGGTCCAAGTCCAACATTCACAATGTTTTTCTTTTATAGTGATTCCTCCTCTTCCCTTCACACTCTTCTTGCTCATGTCCCGCCATTTCTCCCCCCTTCGCACCAAACTGTTATTCTATGACCAACGGCTAGTCTCTTCCATCCTCTCTCCTGATCTATTGCCTTCCTCCCATAATGGCCTTCAGAATATACAGTAGCAAGAGAAGTTTTCTAATTCTGGAATTATTGAAAAATAGATCATTGCTCACTGGGAAATGGAGGGCATTGTGAAAGTTTTTTTTTTTTTCAGTCGAACGAGTGCGCAGGAATTTGTCTAAAAATGTGAAAGCCTGGAATAAACCTAGGTAAATTGGGGAAGGGGGCAGTTTCCCATTTTTTTCTCCTGGGTCTTCACATCCCTAGTGGCTCCCCATTTAGCTGTTTATTGTATCTATACCTTGCCTTTTTCCTCTTGCAAGGAAGGCAGGGCAGCTTTCATGATCCTCCTCTTCCTCATTATCCTCACAACAACCCTATGAGGTAGGTGAAACTGGGTCCTACTGGTTTTTGTGGGTTTGCTCAAAGTATGGCTGAGACTGCACTGCTCTGCGTGCTTACCTGGGAGTAACTCCAGTTCAGCTCCGTAGGACTTCCTTCCCAGTGTATGTGCACATGCGATTGATTGTCCTGTGAGCCCCGATCCAATCCAATCTATGCAATGTTTATCTCTCTATATTATATGACTATTAGAACAGTAGAAAAGGCTGTCAAATAATTAGCAGACTGTTAAGGCAAACTTACTTAGCTGCTTCTTTGGCTTTTTAAGTATGTTCTTCCAAGGTTTTATTAAGATAACTGTGAGGCGATTTTATTAAAATATAGCCATAACGTCATTTTAATTTGTGACAATGTGGTTACGTTTTATGTTATTTTGATTTTATTTTATATATTATTAAAATATGGCCATTAGGTTTATGTTTCTATTAAAATACAGCTATGAGGTTTAGTTTTATTATGATATGGCTAGGTATTTTATATGGCCATGAAGTAATTTGTTTTTATTACAATATAGTCATGAAGTAAGGTTGTTTTATTATATGGCCATGAAATTACTGTATTTGGATTTTATTTTATTACCAAAAGGCCATGACCATATTTTATTTTGAATTTATTAGGACAGAGCCTTGAAATTCTTATATTTCATTGCTATGCGGCTAGGAGGCTATTTTATTTCGAGAATCACGCCTACTCGGGAGTAAACGCCGCTAGGTTCAGTGAGGCTTGATTCGGAGTCTGCGCTCCTCGCTCCCCGCGGCACGTGGAACAGGAAGAGGCTTTGAGGACGCCCAAGGGAAACCGCCCTCAAAAAGCGGAGAGCGCATGCGCAGGAGGCGGGGGCAAAGAGAGAGCGGGGGACGTAATTGCGCAGGCGCGCACGGGCACGAGCCGCAAAGTGCGCTCCGGTTTGGTGAGTCGGTCTTGCACCTCCTCCATAGACTTAGAAAAGAAGACTAACTCCACCAAGTTGCTTCCGGGTTGGTTCGGATTCTTTCATTTTTAAAACTATTGAACGACACTTGTGGCTGGATGTTTTTAAACGACATCCCTGCAGTGCAGCCCGCTGTTAAGCGTCGAGGGGCTAAGCCATGGTTTGCATCAGCAGTTTGCGACCGGTCCAGATGTTGGCCTTCCAGCTCTCATCACCCTCTTAGCCAGTAGGGTCGGGGGCCAAGGGTGGTGGGAGGTGCGGTTCAGCAGTATGAAAACCAGTGCGCAGTAGTGTTGCACTGGGACTTTGGAGCTCCATTAAGTTCACTGGATGACTTTGCGTTAAGCACGGACTACCAATGGAACAGGGCGGCTGTGTGTGTTAAAGACAGAGGAGGATCGTGCCTCCCAGCATGGGCTCTCCGCGGGAAAAAAGCAGGCTATAAATAGGATGGATAGATAGATAGGTGGAGGGCCATGTTCTGCATTCCAGGCTTACACCAATCCTGCAGTGTCACCCAAGTGAGGACGAGAAATGTAAACAGTTAAATGGAGCACGTGAATATGAATACAAAAACTAAAGTGGCCCTCGGTTAAGATCGCATCATACCCATGTTCCCCAGTAACCAGGGTACCCAGGCACCCTGCTGCTGATACTGGCGGTAGTCTATCGCCATAGGGACTAGTAGGTACGGATAGTCGCCTGCTCTAGGAATGGATCCAACCCCCTGTTAAGGCCACTCACTGGCTAGGTCCCGTGGGCTAGGTCCCATTGTTTAACCGGACAGGGTGAGAAGAAGCCGTTCTCGGGACCTGTCCTGACTCTCCTCCAAGCCGCTTCATGCTTGGGGGACGACGTGCCTCGACCACCAGCTATCTCCGCACCGGGGGTCGTGCTGCACGCCCCCGCCTCTCCTCGTGCGGATGCTGTTCCTTGCTATTGGCCCCTCCCCAGGCCTACAATTTTGGGGTGCACCCAACAACCCCATCAGGGCAGGAGGAAATGCTGCAGCATGGGCAGCGGCATAAAAGCTTGGCAGGCCAGATTTTAAAATGAGCACGCCCCAGCCGAAAAGAAATAAAAATTAAAGCTCTGTATGCGGACGGAGAGGAGTGAGGACTGAACCACGTGCCACTACTAGCCATTCACAGCTAGGCTGCAAGAAGGCCGCTCTCCCTTCCGCTCCCTTGAGCAGAAAAAAACCTTGAGACAAACCTGGAAGCCCTTTTCTAGAAAAGAGGGCGTGCCCATCTTGCACTTTCATACGTCTATGGCTGCTGTCGGGTTGGGCTCCAGCCTCCTCCCCGCCCGAGCTCCCAATCATTGGCCCGCTGGGACGGCGTCTGTCACTCACCACATTGCCTGGGCTCTGATAGGCCGGCGAGGGAGGCGGTGAAGGAGAAGAGGTGGGTGCTTCCGGCTGTGCTTCTTCCTTCGCCTGTTTCCCCTCACACACTCGCTCATCCTAAAGGCTTGACTTCCGGTCCTGTGCGGCTCGGTGGTGGGGGGCGAGGAGGCGCACGCTCCCCCTCCCTACCCCCCACCGGCGCAGAGCCCCCCCTTCCCTATATGCCCCCTGCCCCTTTAGTCGTTCCTGCGGGGGTGAAAAGAGAGACACGCCTACAAAGAGAGTCTCCCCTCCTCCACCTCAGCCGCCCCAAGCCCCGCCCCCTGGGCGAAGCCCCGCCCCCAGAAGCCCCCCCCCCCCCACGCCCCCCCCCTTAGAGCTAGGACCGGCCCCCCCCCCCACTCCCTCTTCCCTCAAAATCCCACTCAAGTCTGACCACCCTATCTTGGTCTCTATTGGTTTAACACAATCTCCCCCAGAATTGGAGCTGAAGAAATTTCCCTCGCCCTCCCCACACATGCACCCCCCATAGGTCTGGTGGAAGGCTTCAGTTCCCCCCTCCCCAAAAGTGCTCCCCTTAAAAAGGGCGAGGCGTGGGCACATCTTGCAAACAGGGAGAAAAATAGGGTGTACACATACGGAGGTGGAAGCTTGGAGAGCGTTTCTTCCTCCCCACCTGGCCCAAACCTATTTCTCCACACTCCACCCCCCGCCACCCCACAAGCAGCTGAGGAAAGCCTAGGGGGGTGAGTGTGGGGCTTCCCCATCCCTCTCACCCCCCCATCCTGCTGTCCCTGCTTTGATAAGGGAGAGAGAAGAGTGTGTTGCTGAGGGGGGGCAAGGGGGTGTCTCGCCCACCCCACCTGCTATGGAGATGCAGAAGGGGAAAGGGGGCACAGCAACAGCTACAGCAGGTGGAGGAGGAGGAGGGAAATTGCTGATCTACACCAGCTTGGATGCCAAGGATGAGTTAGAGGAGGTAGGTGCAGGGGGAAGGTTAATGGGGGGCAGTTTGGGGGAGGGGAATTGGAGGAGCTTTGCACTGCTTCTCAGAAAGCAAGGGGCTATTTTATTTTTATTTTTTTTTAAGGGTGGGCTGCCTTCTTTGCAGAGCATTGAGAATTGGAGGAGCATTCTTAGATCTTCCTAGGTCTAAGAATGAAAGACTTGACCTGGAAACTTTGTGCTTGTCCTCACAGTTCTTAATAGTACTTTCAAGGCAGCCTGTGTGTGATTTGGCAACTTGTGCCCGGTGCTGGGAGAACATAGAGGTGCTTGGAATTGGGCGAACAGGAACAGAATGTCATTTGTTCTGTGGTGAAGAAAAGGTTCTGTTCTGCAGATTGCTGAGGCTTGTCTGCCTTGACACAGATGGATTATCCCTGAATGCTGAAGGTTCCAGACCATATTCCCATCTTGCTGGCTCTCTGTGAAATAGGAGGACATGATTCCCATTTTAGAGCTTGGAAAAATGAGGCTGGAAGGCTCTGACTACTCTGGGGTTGTAACTGAGGTCAGGTTGAAAACTATTCTGCACCAGAAATTCTCCTGCTTGTAAATCACTTAATCTTAATACAGCACAGGAATCTCTCCAGTTCTTGTAAAGTGGATTATTTTCCCCCTTCGTATTGCTGTTGGTGCTTCAGATTGGCTATATGTAGGAAAGAGGACTAGCACCACTATTTTTTGTGGATTTACTAACTTTGGGCAATTGAGTCAGAAGGCTGAAACCGTTGCACAACTTTCTGGCTCTGCTTTAGAATCTGTCCCTCACAGATTGGAAAACTTTGCAGAGGGTGCACCAGTGCTGTGCAGGTTATTTGGAAGTGCAAACATCTAAAGTGTTATGCTGGGTCAGTGCAAAGAGCCTGTTGAGTTTGGCATTCTGTTTGTGCAGTACGTAGCACCTGTGAGCAGAATGGGTGCTTCTCAAGTGCAAGGTACTCACATTTCTATGTCTGTGTGTGTGTGATGTGCAGAACTAGTCCCCACCCCACTTATGCTCCCGAGTTGCCATGTTCTTTTTCTCCTATGTTTGGTTCATTGCCTGACCACCATCTCACTGTAGTTCAGCATCATGTTGATCCAGGTGTTGTATTTTGCCTTCTGTGTGTCTCAGCTTACAACTTGTCTGGGCCTGAGTCTACAGGCTTCTCTTCTAGGAAATATTGGCAGTGGCTGGTATAACCTCTTCTCTCCCTTAGGAAGTGTAATGAGAAGTGTTTTGTCTGCTGTAGGACACCCTATTCACCAGGCATTGCTAAGCGCAAGTCATTTACCTCATCAGTGATCATTATCTCTCATCTGTTCAAGCAAGATGGTGTTTAAGGGGCAGGGTGGCAGGTGCTTGGGCTCGGGCCTTGTGTACAGGACCCATATTCCCGGCAAATGTCCCAAGGCACGTGTGTCGCCTGCTGGTGGACCCAGGTAGCCCCGTGTGCTGTGGAATCTTTGCCCCGGGTCCAGGAGCCCGTGGGCAGGGTGGGAGAGGCTGGCCTGCAGAGCCAAATTCAGACCAGCAGCCATCAACTGCAGTCTTTCCCCACCTGGTGCCTTCCTGATGCTCGCAGAGCAACTCCCATCGTTCCCAGCCAGCACGGCCAGCAAGGCGGATGTGCTTGCATCTTGCCAGACGATTAACAACCCCTCTGCCTGGTTGGAATTGTCAGGTAGCCAGCAAAACCGGGACTGCCCCGAGTCCACGCATTTAGTGGACCAGGTTTAGTTGCGGGGAGGTGGGCCTGAGTTGTCTGGGGGGGGGCATTGTCTTGGAGCAACTGCCCTTTGGCTCCTCTCTTCCTAGGATCATGTTTGCCCGCGCAGCTGCCTTGGGGCAAGGATGCAGCAGGGTCACAATGGGGTGGTGGAGCTGAAACTCCGTGCCAGAGTTCCTGTTTTGCGGGCAGAAGACCCCAGTATTTTGCTTGCTAGGAAGGAATCCTGCCCTCAGCCTTGGAGAGGTATTGCTGCCAGTCAGTGTTGACATCATGGGCTAGATGGGCCAAGGGTCCATCTCAGGACAGGTTCTTGCGCTTTCATACACCCCCCCCCCATCAGCAGCTGCAACCAACAGCTGCTCGGCTGCTGGAGCTATCTGCGGCCCTCCCATCTGGTTGCGTCTGTGAAGCTCACTCTGTTAGCCTGGCCTCAGGGACCGTCTGCATTCAGCTCTTCTCCTCCTCGCCTTTCTTTCTCCGTTTCACCTTTTGTGTTGTGCCTGGTATTGTGAAACCCTTTTTGAGTCCTATGTCAGTGAGCCATTATATCTAAATATAGCACATAAATGAACTGGGCAGGCCTGATCCTTAGCATCGCTGTGCCCACAGGCTCACCTGATCCCCTCCAAGACGCTTCCTCAAACCTGTCTCTTTTCCATCCTTTGTGTTGCTCAGTGTCACCCGCTGGCGGTCCGTGAAGTGGAGCGGGCACGGCCCGTCTGTGCTCCTCCAGATGCTTCGACTTGCAGCTCCTCTGGAGCCTGGCCAGCATCTCTAATGTTGAGTGCAAAACATCTGGAGCACCCCAAGTTGCCTTTTCTTTTCAAAGCTCAGACACGTCCATCACATCTAAACATTTTTTTTTTTTTTTGCTCTGTACAGAATGTGCCATTTGAACAAAAGGGGATTTGTACGACTTCAATGTCAGTGTGTTAGGTGTCATTTAATTTGCATTAATGTACCAAGAGTTTAAAAAACTTGTTCTAAATCAATTAATATTTATTTAGGCCACAATCTTATGACTCTTAGACATAAGTCTATATTATTTGGATTCCGACTCCAGCCTTGGATTACTCACCCTGGGATCACAGCTGGGACTCCAAACGCAAGAGTGCTTTCCTTCCTTTCTTGCATCCAGGAAAGAACTGTGGCTCCCAAGTTTGCAAAAGCGAGCTCAGGGACAGATTTTTTATTGCGTGGGGATGGGCACAGAGGGGCTGCTTCAGCCGCTTCTCATACTTCAGGACTAAACACCAAGATGGCTGAAATCTAAGTGTTTGGGTGGAGTATGAGGAGTGCCTGCTCGGTCTCTTCTCATCCCTGCATAGAATGCCCACAATCCTCCAAGTTGTAAGGGTTATGATGCATGCTATTCATTATGCTGCCCTATACAAAATGTTGTATCCCACTTCTCAGCCCAAAAGTCTCCCAGATCAGACTGACAGAATCTCTGCCGGCAGGCTCGCTGTCTCACAAGGCAGGTCACGCAAGACAAAACAGGCAGGAAGAGAGAAGAAGTAGCCTCTGAGTATGGCCGTTGCGATGGTCCTATTTCCCACCCTCATTTCCCCCGGTACAAACTGCAGCAGTGGCTTCTTGTGGCAAGGAGTCTGTTCTCTTCCTTCAGAAATGATACCTGTTTGTTGTGGGGGGCTAGGGGTGTGCGATGCCTTGGTAGCCTTTTGAGACTGCCTTCCTGCAGACCCTTGTGCCTGTGACAGCGGCCTCTTCTCTGCTGCAAACAATGTTTTTTCACTCAGTTACACAATTTCCTCCTCTTGCATCCCTTTCTGTGTACCAAACAGTCTTCCCTACACTGGCAGCAGAAGGACCATATTGCTTGAAACGGAAACCTTTGTGGGACTAGACTCGGTAACCCAGCCTGTCTTCCAGCATTCTTGTACCACTGACCAGGCTGGCTGAGACCTGTGCAATCCTTTTATTTACACAAACAAGTATTGTATTGGAGACATACAACGTGTCAGTGATAGAACAACAAAAACATCAATACACACAGCTTGTTTTACATTATTCATCTCAGGTTCAGTACATAATTCAGGACTATTGTCCCTGAACATACCCTTGTCAGGTATGACATTTTAAGCTCTGTTAGAGCTGCGAATTATTCCATTATTCATTTTGCTCATTATTATACTCTTCAAAAAGCAAGGTTGCACGCTTAGTTAATGCTGGTCCAAAGGCCCTGCATTGGAAGTAGTCCTGCTTGATTATTCCTCTAATCCATTGCTTATGTTGCATTTGTTTTTCAGCAAGAGTCTATTCCCAAAATGTCAGAAACTCTCTACTAACAGTCTATCTTACTGCCATATTCCTGTTTCATGTGATAACTGTTCTTGAAACTGAGCCCCAAAAGGTCTGGAGGGCACCGGGGTGGGACGGCTCCCCTAAGAAACATGAGCCGTTCTCTAGCCTACCTTAGCAACTTCCAAGAGGGTACAGTACATACTGTCTTCACTGCAGGAAGGGTGACTGGAGGCCTGCTGGCTGCCCGGACTTGCAGCTCTTATCCTTGCTAGCCAGCATAACCAGAGGTGAGAGATGGCGGGAACAGTAGGTCAAAATTTTGAGGGTCACCAGTTTCCCACCTTGGAACAGAGTCACCTTGTGCATCAAAAGCAGCGGATGTGCTTACAGCTTAGTTATCTTCCCACCTTGGGAAGAAAAGAGCCAGTGTGGTGTCGTCGTTAAGAGCATGGGACTGGGCCTCAGACGATCTGGGTTCTAGTCCCCACTCGGCCATGGAGCCCACTGGGTAACTTTGGGCCAGTCGCAGCCTCTCAGCCCAACCTACCTCACAGGGTTGTTGTGGGGATAAGATGGAGGAGGAGAATGATGTAAGCTGCCTTGAGTCCTTTGAGGAAAAAGGCAGGATATAAATTGAAAAATAAATATAAATAAATAAAAGTGTTTTTAGGGTGGGATCATACATAACCAGCTGGGATTACATATCACTGAATTTAGTTTGACTTGCTTCTGGGTGAAGACATGTATAAGATTGTACTGTTGGGTACATTTATTCATTTTAAATATTTGTATGCCAGCTGCAGAAAAGGCCCTCCCCCTCGCGGCCGTCCCGCTCACCTCCTTAAGGGATAGCTCACACAGGAGGGCCCCCTGCATAGATCTCAAAGGCCAGGTAGGCACATACAGGTGCAGGCGCTCCCTAAGGTAACTCAGGCCTACGCCGTAGTAAACACTGCTGTCTAAGGACTCGCACACACACGTAATGTATCCTGAGAGT